AAAAATGTATTTTAACTTGAGTTAATCTATGTGATGAACTGTCAGTACCTCTATATGACTTATCGATTTGTTGGCATATGCTTCAAGAAACAGTCCTACGTCATACCCAAATTATATAAATACAAAATAATAATTTTCACTGTTTCTGTCCTTCAGCTGTCTGTACCAAGTTCTCTGAACCTGCTGCCTGGTCAGATTCACATGATGAAGGAAATGATAGAGAAAGAGAAAATAAGGCAGCGGCTTCTTTCATCTCCTCCTCCATCCTCGGCTTCTGACAATTATGTTACTGTACAGTCAGACATGCCTTCGTAAGTTAAAACCACTTGCTTTATGAATGATAACATAACATCAAAGTTTAAAGGTGATGTGCGTAATATTTTTGATGTTTGATGTTTAAGTACTTTCTCCTGGCTTAATAAGAAGGGACGACAAACTCAACTCAATGGATTGGGTGGGACACAATTATCAGTTTGGCAGAGCTATGGCAGATAGGGAGGATGTGGGAAAACTCTCAGGATTTTTGACTGCGATACAGAAATTACACACTTAACCTTTAATAATGTATTGTTTTGTCAGTCACGACATTTACATGCACTCATACAGATGTCATTTAGCTTTTCCTTATGCCGTTTCGTAATAATAATAAACTTTATTTTTATATAGCTCCTTTAATGCAGCTTCTCGAGGAACTTTACATAATAAAACAAACAGATAAAAACACAACACATGCAGAACAAAACAAATGAAAAGAACAGACTAGAATATAAAATTTAAGATAATCAAGAAAAAGCTAACCTAAAAAAATAGTTTTTAAGTAAGATTTAAAAGTACTTAGATTCTGTGCATCTCTGATATAAGAAGGGAGTGCATTCATAAGTCTAGGAGCGTAGGGTGAGAAAGCCCTGTCCCCTACAGATCGCAAACGTGTCTGTGGAACAGCCAGTAAACCAGCTTGTGAGGAGTGGAAATGACGCTTGGGTGTATATAAAATTAAAAGTGCAGACAAATACTAAGGGGCCAGACCATGTAGTGCCTTATGTGAGCATTAGGATTTTAAAATCAACTCAGAACCTGACCGGAAGCCAGTGCAAGGACTTTAGAATTGGAGCAATGTGTTCTCCTGACTCCAGTCAAGATCCTTGCAGCAGAATTTTGCACACATTGCAATTTGTTGAATGTAGTTTTAGGAACCCCTGCAAGAAGTGCATTACAGTAGTCAATTCGGGAAAATACAAAAGTATTAATAAGCCTTTCAGTCACAGATAGGAAAACATAGGGCGGAATCTAGCAATATTTCTGAAATGAAAATGGATTTCTTAACAGTGTATTTCATATGTTGGTCAAAAGACAGACTCGAGTCAAATATAACTCCTAATTTTTTTTAAATTGAGATTGTAACGCCAAAACAGAGCCATTTGCATTTAAAATAAGTAAGCCAGCTTTACAGAGCTTATGAGAAGTGCCAATAAGCAAGACCTCTTTTTTTATTATTAAGACACAAAAAGTTTTGAGATATCCATGCTTTTCTCAAAAATACAATGTGATAAGAAAGGAATATCCATGTTTTGACCAGGCTTAGAGTGAATATAAATCTGAGTGTTGTCTGCATAAAAATGATAATTAAGCCCAAGTGATCTTAAAAGTAGAAGCAAAAAAAGTAAGGAGCCTAAAATTGAACCCTGAGGAGCACCCATAGGGACAGAGTTGACCTAAGATCGCTCATACAGACAAACTGTCGACGATCAGAGAGATATGATCTAAACCAGGATAAAGGGGTCTCAGAAACACCAAAGA